AGGTCAACAAGAAATAAAGTCTCAAAGTCAACCCAAAAGACCAAGTCAAAATCCCCAAAAAGTTGAGTCAAAATCAGACTGAAATCTGAAAAAAAAAAAATCTGCAGGGGTCGACCCTATGAAGAAGCTTATGTTTGACAACATGCAAGAGGGTTGACCCTCTCCCAGACTGGTGTCTACCCTAATTTCCAGCAAGCAAACTTCAGAAACGAAGGGTAGACACTTCCCAGACTGGTGTCTACCCTAATTTCCAAGAAGCAAACTTCAGAAACAAAGGGTAGACACTTCCCAGATTGGTGTCGACCCTTGTGACCAACAACAAAAAGATGGTGTCGACCCCAGAACAAAATTTTAAGTTTCCAAACAACTTTTCAATGTAAACAAGCGTGAACGAGCAATCCCAACAAGTTTAAATCAATTTGTACTCCCCCAAAACTAAGGTACAACCACACTAAAGATTCCTAAAATAAAATAAAGGATTCAAATGCACTTCCGAAAAGGTTTTAAAGGACACGAGTGCTACAAATAACATGCTGTAAAAAATTGCTCTAACAAGCAAATTCTTTAGTTCACATTTGTAAATAAATAATTGCAGAAAAACTATATTAAAAAATGTCAAAAAATTACAAATATTGATGTGAATTGGTTTAATTATTCATAATGAGATTCATACCTTAAATATTCAACCATAAAAAAAAATTGATTTCTAATTATTTTTCTTAATAAAATTTCTAATTAGTACCAAACAGTCCTTGATTAATTAGGAAAAATACTTGAGAGTTTTAATTAAGCACCTTAATTTATTCTTACGTTATGTCTGGTTAGAAAATTTGAGAATAAATTTAGAAAGCGAAAGGTAGATAAAATGTTAAAAAATATATATATATAAAATTGTTGAATATTTAAGAAAAAAAAAAGAAAAGTGACAGTTTAAACTCTTAAGAAAAAAATAATCTGTCTGCAATCTAAAATTGTTGCTTCATTTCTTTGGGTAATCAATAAATAAGCTTTTAAAAAATAGAACAAAGTTTTATTTGTCTAAAGGAATACGTGATTTAACAATTACACTCACTTAAATAAAAATCTAAACGAAAAAAAAAAAAGGGTGTAAACCTACTTTGCAAAGTAAAGAAAAGAAAAGGAAGCAAAATGCTTTTTTTTAATAAAAAAAAATAAAGAGATCACATTTAAGAAAATCGATACCTGTTCTTCAAAAATTCTGCACAGCAGCATGATGATTACTATCTGCCAAAGCACAACTACAGCCACTTATTTATTGATAAGAAAATATCCTCCATTTAATTATTCCTACACATACGTTGATGAATTGCTTCATTGCATTTAATTTTCTCAATCTTACTGATTTAAAAATATATGATATTTTTGGATATAAAATATAAAAGGAAAAGTCAATAGTCATAAAATGACCCAAGTCAGATCTACCAAAATGATTCAATAATACTAAGGTAAAATACATTTGATTATAACAAGATATGATTAATTACATGTCATTAATTACGTGTGTTATGTCGAGATATTTACTGACATTTTTAGTATCATACATGATGATATTACATTAAATAGTACATAAATGTGTTAATCAAATGTGCATAACCAACTGAAATTCTTTGTTTAATCATAAATAATAATTATTTTATGCCAAAAATATATATAATCCATTCAAAATTCATTGAAATATTCAAATTAAATGTTAAGCATTCCAAAACTCCCGACAAATATATTACTAGTGCCTCTTAAAAGTCATTAGTCAAACATTAATTATGGTGTTAAAATTTGACACGATACTCTTAAGTTGTGTTGGTTGAGAGATTTGAAAAGAGATTTAGAAAGAAAAAGAGAATAAATAGGTGAAATATGAATAAAATTTACCTGCATTTCACTTATTTCACGTAATTTTTTCTTTTCTTTTTTTAAATTTTTTTCCCAAATCTCTCAATCAAACGCAACATTATTATGCTAAACTTGCCATAGGAGACATTAATTACTTGATGTGTTTAAATTATTTTGGGCAACACACTCTTTAATTCACATTTGTGTGGTTGAGATTTTATTTTGTAGAGTGTAACCACATTTAAAATGAATTTATAATATGATGAATAACATGCTGTAAAAAATTTGCTCTAACAAGCAAATTCTTTAGTTCACATTTGCTCATTAATAATTGCAGCAAAACTATATTAAAAAATGTCAAAAAATTACAAATATTGATGTGAATTGTTTTAATTTTTACCTTAAATATTCAACCATAAAAGAAAATGATTTCTAATTATTTTTCTTAAAAACATTTCTAATTAGTACCAAACAGTCCTTGATTAATTAGGAAAAATACTTGAGAGTGTTAATTAGGCACACCTTAATTTATTCTAAATTGTTGCTTCATTTCTTTGGGTAATCAAGAAATAAGCTTTTAAAAAATAGAACAAAGTTTTATTTGTCTAAAGGAATACGTGATTTAACAATTACACTCACTTAAATAAAAATCTGAACCAAAAAAAAAAGAGGTGTAAACCTACTTTGCAAAGTAAAGAAAAGAAAAGGAAGCAAAATGCTTTTTTTTAAATAAAAAAAAAATAAAAAGATCACATTTAAGAAAATCGATACCTGTTCTTCAAAAATTCTGCACAGCAGCACAATGATTACTATCTGCCAAAGCACAACTACAGCCACTTATTTATTGATAAGAAAATATCCTCCATTTAATTATTCCTACACACACGTTGATGAATTGCTCCATTGCATTTAATTTTCTCAATCTTACTGATTTAAAAATATATGATATTTTTGGGTATAAAATATAAAAGGAAAAGTCAATAGTCATAAAATGACCCAAGTCAGATCTAACAAAATGATTCAATAATACTAAGGTAAAATACATTTGATTATAACAAGATATGATTAATTACATGTCATTAATTACGTGTGTTATGTCGAGATATTTACTGACATTTTTAGTATCGTATATGATGATATTACATTAAATAGTACATAAATGTGTTAATCAAATGTGCATAACCAGCTGAAATTCTTTGTTTAATCATAAATAATAATTATTTTATGCCAAAAATATATATAATCCATTCAAAATTCATTGAAATATTAAAATTAAATGTTAAGCATTCCAAAACTCCCGACAAATATATTACTAGTACCTCTTAAAAGTCATTAGTCAAACATTAATTATGGTGTTAAAATTTGACACGACACTCTTAGGTTGTGCTGGTTGAGAGATTTGAAAAGAGATTTAGAAAGAAAAAGAGAATAAATATGTGAAATATGAATAAAATTTACCTGCATTTCACTTATTTCACGTAATTTTTTCTTTTCTTTTTTTTTTTAATTTTTTCCCAAATCTCTCAATCAAACGCAACATTATCACGCTAAACTTGCCATAGGAGACATTAATAACTTGATGTGTTTAAATTATTTTGGGCAACACACTCTTTAATTCACATTTATGTGGTTGAGATTTTATTTTGTACAGTGTAACCACATTTAAAATGAATTTATAATATGATAAATAACATGCTGTAAAAATTGCCCTAACAAGCAAATTCTTTAGTTTACATTTGCTCATTAATAATTGCAGAAAAACTATATTAAAAAATGTCAAAAAATTACAAATATTGATGTGAATTGGTTTAATTATTCATAATGAGATTCATACCTTAAATATTCAACCATTAAAAAAAAATGATTTCTAATTATTTTTCTTAATAAAATTTCTAATTAGTACCAAACAGTCCTTGATTAATTAGGAAAAATACTTGAGAGTTTTAATTAAGCACCTTAATTTATTCTTACGTTATGTCTAGTTAGAAAATTTGATAATAAATTTAGGAAGCAAAAGGTAGATAAAATGTTAAAATATATATATATATATATATGCGACAAGTTTGTGACCGCCGTCATGGACTCCACACATGACTTCAACGTATACTGATTGGCCTCCACATCCGACTGCACCGCCATTTTTTGCTCCACAGACCGCATCGGAAAGTTCAACGGAGCAAAATCGGAAGCGCTTGGTTGAGTTTCACTGGCCACCGCACCCGTTATCTCTCTTGTTGACTCGTTGAGGTCTGAAAAGAGAGTGAGCAGACTCCGGGAAGACGAGGCCATTTTTTGGGCAACAGAGTGTTACAGAATATCTCTCGCAACAGAGTGTTACAAACTCTCTCTCTCAGCACAACGAAGAGTTTTTTAGAGGATTTCGCAGGTTTTTTTGCCTCTGCCTCGGCCTCAGGCTCCGTCTTGGTTAAATAGCCGAGGCAGCCACGCGCATCGCGCGCCTCTTGACGCCGACAACTGGGCACGCCTTTTGATGGTGCGCCTTTTGAGGGCGCGACTTTTGAGGGCTCAATATATATCTCCATGTCTATTTTTTGGGCAGCCTATCTACACACTCATACAGTGTCTTCTACACCGGTCAGCTTTATCAATCCCTTTGTTTCAACCTCAAATAGGTTTCTATCTTCACACCTATTTGAGTTTGAGGGGGGGTTATACACAGTATCATGTATACGTCGCTCAAGGCGCACTCCCTAAGTCACCCCCTTGGTGCACCACCACAATCTTCTACAACGGTCTGACACGACCACACAGTGTCTTCTACAACCGGTCCGACATGACCCCGTAAATTGTCTGCTACATCGGTCCGACATGACCCCATAAACTGTCTTCTACACCGGTCCGACATGACCCCATAAATGTCTTCTACAACGGTCCGACATGACCCCGTAAACTGTCCCGACATTGATTCCAGTCAACTTCTACATCGGTCCGACATGACCCCGTAAACTGTCCCGACATTGATTCCGGTCAGCTTCTACAACGGTCCGACATGACCCCGTAAACTGTCTTCTACACCGGTCTGACACGACCACACTGTGTCTCCTACAACGGTCTGACACGACCATACCATGTCTCCTATTCTGTTTTATTTTATTTATCAGTTTATTTTTCTGTTTTGTTACTCTCTTACAGATGACTACGGCAACACCATATTACATGTAGCAGTCGCAAATAAACAAATCCAGGTATGCCCAAACACACACACACACACACAAAAAAAACACTGTTTGATTTACTATCTATCCATTACAAAATTTAATTTAATTTATAAAAATAAAAATAAAAATAAAAATTCAACCTTTTTACTACCATTTGATATGGAGATAAGGCGGGTTTTAGCTGCAGGAACTTTACCAATTATCAAAGCATAATTCCTAGTGCAAAATGACCAAACAGCCTTCCCAAATCCTCTCCTATATAACTCCTTGTAATATACACAATATAAATATCAATCAATACAAATCAATAATATACATCAATTTATTTTACATTGTTTACATTTTTATTTTACTTTTCAAACCAATGGGAACCCTACCATCTCAATCAATAACAATCAAATTACAACAATAAATAAACCTGCTCATAGCACTATTTTAGTTTATTCGTGATAAGGCACCATAACACTCTCTCCATCTATTATGTACGCCAATTCCCCAATTCTGTACACAAGAACCACTGCATAGTTAGGGATGGAAATAGGATTTGGATAACCCTACGACGTTTGCCAATGATGTGAAAATCAGTCTTCTTCCAATAAACTTTTGAACTCCAATTATTATAACCATTTTTCCCCTCAACTTTGTGCTGGCCTAATGTCAATTCTTTTATCTAATGTGATATGACAAAATTGATGTGTTGCAGACAGTTCAACATCTACTCACGATTGACAAAATAGATGTAAATGCAAAAAATATAAATGGATATACAGCATTGGACATTCTAGCTCAAAGTCGAAGAGGAGTGCAAGATTGGGACATTCAAAACTCCCTCAAACAAGCTGGAGCCTTGAAAGCTGCTGACAATCAGGGTGAGTGGCTTGCAAAGAAAATGGATGCATTAATGGTGGTGGCATCACTTCTCACAACGATAGCTTTCCAAGCAGGCGTAAGCCCTCCAGGAGGTGTTTGGCAAAATGATTCACCTGAAGGTTCACTAGACCCGCATAGAACTGGAGAAGCTGTGGCTGCTTATACTTATCCAGAGTCATATCAATTTTATCTGCGTGCCAACATGATAAGTTTTGTTGCATCTCTGAGCACAATTTTGCTGCTCATAAGCGGATTGCCCTTGAAGCGCAAGAATTTTATGAGGATTTTGATGATGATCATGTGTTTGTCAATTACATCTATAGCATTTTCTTATGCATTTTCATTGGTTGCAGTCACTCCAAAGACACACAGGGTAACACTACATCGCACATTGTATGTTGCAGTTCCAGTGTGGTGTGTAGTGATGGTGATTTTGCTCCTCGTGCACACAATTCAATTGACACTAAGGTGGTTGAAAGACAAGAATTGGAAATCAGCCGTAGAAAACTGTCAAATTAAGTTGGGGGTAAAGGATGCCAATAGCAACAGAGATGTTCAGATGACCTAGAGAGCTTGATTATGTGCTTGACATTCTCTCTCCTTTCTCTACAACTCTGAAAAGGTCCAGTGTGCCAATGTGTGTTTTTCTAGTAATGTTTGTTTGATTTGCATGTGTAAGATAATGAAATGCCTAGTACTCCTACTAGGTAATTATGATATTCCAAGCAAGAAAACCACTGTCAAGTGTTGGTGTGGCAACAAGGTTATCGATTTGGATGTGTTTTATCATATCATGCCTCATTATCATTCTATAGTGTTTGTATCTTTTTTACTATTTAATCAATTTTTTTTCTTATCTATTTAGGGAAAATTATTTATAAGTCCTATTAGGGAGATTTATGCTACATATGGTCCTACTAAAAAACTTATGTTCCCATAAGTCCTGTGGGAAATTTGTTGACACATTTACTTTCAATATTAGTTGTTTATATCATAAATAATAGTAAAACCATATATAGGAAATTGAATGTTACCATAGATCATATCTATATAAACGTAATGTAACGTGACAACTATATAAACGTAATGTGACACTTGTACGTAACGTGACACCTACATAAACGTAACGTGACACCTATGATCTATGGCAACATTCAATTTCTTATAGGAAATCGAATGTTGCCATAGATCATATTTATATGAAACGAAACGTGACACTAACATAAACTAGCAACATTTTCACATTCAATTTAAAAAAATAAAAACTCATTAAGTTTGTGAAATGTAACGTGACACGTTACGTTACGTTTATGTAGGTGTCACATTACGTATAGGTGTCATGTTACGTTTATATAGGTGTCACGTTACGTTACGTTTATGTAGGTTTCATGTTACGTTATGTTTATGTAAGTGTCACGTCACGTTACGTTTATGTAGGATCTTGTGGAATACATTCCTATCTAAATAGGACTTAAGACTCGATAAGAAATTATACAGGACTTAGCCTAGCATAAGTGTCTGAAAAAGGACTTATAAATAAGTCTCCCATCAATTTAATTTAATTATGCCTTCGTTTGGGATGTAAGTTGATTTTTTAGCTTTTTAATTTTTTAGTTATTTTGGCCTGGGACTAAAAAGTCTCGTTTAGAATAGGTTTTTTGACTTTTGTGAGAAAAAATAAAATGATTATTGTTTAGATGGGATATTTTGTCTTATTAATTTTTTAATTTTTTTTGTATTTTTGTGACTATTTTAATCCAAAAACTATATGCCCAACGAAGCCTACCTTGTTAAAAATTTTCAACATGAAAGAATGAGCCAAAACTACAACGTTCCTCCACCACTGTGAGACCCCTTCCACTCGCCGCTTCCACTGCCATCCAATCCACAACTCTACCACCAACCACCACCACTCAAATCAACCCTTTGGCCCCTCACCACCAAAGTAGTAATATCCTCGGGTTACTAAGGTCATATATTTGGTAACAACTTCATGTATTTATTTTCATTTTGAGGTTAAGTTTCTAACGGTTGTCCAATTGATATTCCCGTATACCCAGTCATGCTTTGACACTTCATATAATCTTAGAAAGAGTGCGGGACATTTGAAGGGCAAATTACTCAAAAGTTCTATTTAAAATAATAAAAGTCTATTTAGTTCTACAATCTTTTGGATACTTTTAAAAGTTCATTACGCATTTTTCTTATTTGTTCTTCTCTGTCCCTCTCTTCCTAATTTTCGGTTACCGGCGACCACACCTTACTTCTTTCTCTTTCTAATATATTGTCATCAGCGACAAATGACCACCATTGATTGGAATTCACCAGCAAATCACCAACTCCTTATTCCACCCTCACCCACTATAACAATCTGCACCTTTGGCGACCACTTTTGGCTACTAAAACATTTTTAGTCGCCAAAAGTTGGACCTTTACCGACAAATTTTCCTGTTGGTCAGCAATGATTAACTTTTAGCTACTAAAGTTTTTTAGTAGCCATATGTTAATTATTGGTGACTAAAACAATATTTAGTCGCTAAACATATGTCAATAGGCCACTAAAAAAGTTTTAGTCGGCATTTTTTTACATTTTAGGCTACTAATTATGGTTTTAGTCAGCGTACATAGCCTTTTGTTGACCAAAATTTTTGTTAGTTGCCAAAAATAGGCTTATTTATTGCAACCATCAGTGACTAAAAAACTATAGTTGTAGATGGGTAGTTATTATTGACAAAAACATTTTAAGTAGCCAATATTAAACTAACAGTTACAAACTTTTAGTAGCTATTGATTATATTTGCCGACAAAAATTTATTCAGTCGCTAAAGGCCCCAAATTTTTTTTTTAGAGGGAAATATTGGCGCCATTCCCTCTTATTTCTTTCACACAGATCTTTTCTCTGTTCTATCTCACAAACACAAAAACCAATACACCAAACCAGACGCACGCTCACTGACGGTCACCACCTCACCGTCACTGGCCACCGTTGCACGTCGCTGGCCACCGCCACACGTCGACACTGCTGCAAATCACAGGTTCTTGTCCCTCTCTCTCTGTCGCTCTCAGTCCTCTCCCTTTCTATCTCTCTCTCTCTCTCTCTCTCTCTCTCTCTCTCTCTGTGCCTTCCCTTATTTCCCCATCTCTCACACTTCATCTAAGGTTTATATGATTTTTTTTAGTTTAATTTTGTGTTGATTTCGTGAATGGGTTTGGTTGAATTATTTGATTTCTATGAAATAATGTTATTCTTGATATCCAAAATTGGTTTGATTTTTGTTTGATTTCTGTGAAATTAGTTTTATGGATTTTAGTTTTATTGGTTTGAATTGTTTTATGGGTTATTCGTGATATCCAATGGTTGGGGTACCCAAATGGTTGGACCAGTTGACCGATGCTAAGTTTATAGACGAGATATGGGAGGTTGGTATGAGAGCTAAGGAGGATGAGAAAGGGGTTGTGAGGAGAGAATAGCTCATGTCTTGTTTGAAGCAAGTCATTAATGAATTTGTGGAGCGATTGAAGTATAGTAGTAATAAGAAAGGATTGATCAAAGATGTCACCAATGGCCATTGCTGTTTGGGTTTGGTCTAGAAAAAACCACAAGAAAAATCTGTGTAAAAAGCCTAGTTTTCTGGCTTGTTGACAAAGTGTTTGATTTTTGTTTGTGTGAGATTTAACAAGCTTTTAAGAAATGGGTTGTTGGTTATTTGGAATTTAGTACCTGAGTTGCATGTGTTTAGTGATCAAAATGATTATTTACATGGTATTTGCTTAATTACTTCTATCAGGTTGGAGGAGATAGTGTCTGAATTCCATTATCAAGTTCTTAGGATTATCGCTTATAGTGTTAGAAATGGGAAAGCACTTATGGAGTGAATCCGAAGACGAGCTAGTTGAGGTTAATTGTCCAAGCTGCATGAGGGGAATAATTCATGCTCTTGATTGGCATAACAGCGTTAAGAACATGCTGCCCCACAAAAAGCATAATGGACCAAAACATACAAAAGGTAAGCAGTATATATTTCCACAGTGTCTCTTTCTTTCTTCTTCATTTCTAGCAGGAACTTTGGCAGTTCTGTCTACTGTGGAATTTGCATATGCAATTTACTTTTGCAACCATTCATCAAGAAACATTCACAATCCCACCATTCATCAAGGATTGCTTATAGCAAGTTTTTAGTTTAACAATCAATGTGGAACAATCTCCTTTATTGGTACTTTTGGAGGTATCCCACTGGTATTTGCTTTGTCCTTACTTATATTCAAAGACTGATCAAAAAGAGAGATTCATGGATTCATTGCGGATTGTACTTTGTAATGAAAAAGAAAACAGGGCATGTAATATGAAGTGAGAAAAAAATGGAACACAATCCTAGAAAATGTGCTAGCTAGTCTCCAATCCCCATACATCATCTATGTAGGCATGTAAGATATATTATTGCGGAATTGCTTTTAGTTTTTCAATTTGACTTGCTTTCTTTTGTTGAGTGCCTTTGTGTTTTCCCAAAGAAAGCAATTCCAGCAAATAAAGGTGCTCTCTTTCCAAAAATGTTCTTTTCTCCTACAGTTGTGTACTGATGGTGTGATAACAAGGTAATGGTAGGATACATTTTTTTTTTTTTTTAAACCATTTGTAAGTTGTTTTACAACAAAATTCTTAATGCCAATTAGTTCTAAATTTGTTTTCCAAACTCAAGTTATTTCATGAACACAAACTCATACAAAAAAATTTATAGTAGTTAAAGTCGTGCTTCCAAATTAAGATACATAATTTATTAGGTTGTTAATAAATTCATAACATCTGACACCTGAAATCTTTCTTTTTTTTAAGTGCACAACCTATGACTTGTGGCTGCACCACAACCTTTATTTTTTATTTATCCCAATTCCTTTTTACTTAATAAAAAATTCTTATTGATTTAATTCACCTTTATGAATAAGCATTTAAGCCTTGGTTGTTTACTATAATTCGTAACCTTTGTTGATAGCTTTGGTTGTTTCTTCTACTTACAATGGTTGTGTTTGGTGAATTTTTTCATTCTTTTTTACCTCTCCTTTGTTTTCTGTAGATAAATGTTAAAAAGAATTTTCATGTCCACTTCAATTTCCTTCTGATGGTAAGTCATTGATACGTAAGATCCTTGATCCAAACCCTGAAATTGTGAGTATGAAGATCCCATCTATTCTATTGCAGGAACCATAAATTTGGAGTCCTTGATGAGTGCATCCAAGTATGCAACTAAATCTCTCATTATTTTGTTCTTAGAAAAAAAAGGCTTACCCATAATTTCAGCATATCATACTAATTTTGAAATAGGTTTTTTTTTTTTTTTTTTTTTTTTTAAGCTTGCAAATGACTTGAGCATCACATTTGTTTCCTTTTCTCAAGTAATTTGTTATCCATAATTTTACTGTGTTAAATATTTAGGGCATGTATATATACGTGTGTGTATTTCATAGCTATGTCACCGAAAACATCCCAGGTACCTACGTCATCCCACTGAAAATCTTTTCTAAATTTGGTAATATCTAGAGAGAGGAAAGAAACCTACTTCAGTTCTCTACTCTTGCATTTTTTTAATTATCTTTTGGTATGTCTATATTTTTTTGGATTTACTCTTGAAAGTCTTTAGCTTCCTGCAACTTGTGGAAAGTGTTGGTTTTGCAAGGATTTCTATGATGCTTTTTGGCACTTTTCTGTACTTACACTTGGTTCATAACCTGTTAAGATTCAAATTGTTGATCATAGAGGTATTGAATGAAATTTTCAAAATGTATTGTACTTGGTCAATATTGTTGTTGGCTGCTTTGGCCTGGTGCTTGGTCTTTGTGGGTAGCTAACAAAACATATATTTTTTTCCCTTTCGTAATGCTTTGGTCTGGTGATACAATTATTTTCTTTCCTAATGCTTGCTTATAGTTATATTGACTAAGAATTTTTAGTAACGTACCTTGGTTGTATCCAAAATAATCATGACCCATCCAAGTTAGTGGCAGTGACTCCATGTGAGCTACTAAGGTATTTGATCTTATTGTCATGTATCTCTGTATCATTCCTGAAACATGTTTTCTTGGGCTTTTTCTTTGTTTTCTCGTCCTTGGTTTTTCCCTTTTTGTTGCAATTAATTGGCTTTGAATTATATGCAAATCCAATGGTTAGATCATCTTTAATTCATAAATAAAGTATTCTTTTGAGAGAGAGAGAGAGAGAGAGAGAGAGAGAGAGAGAGAGAGAGAGACTAACATGGTCTGCACGGTGAGCAATCTTGGGAGCTGGGTTTTGTGGTTTCATTTCTTGCTTGCACAAGGGTTGTCAAAGTAGAAAAAAGGAATAGAGCCAGTTGGTTATAACTCTTTGCATAGTTGGGCTAAATGGCAAGTTAAATAAATTCAGGGTGGAGATTTAATGGTTGTTCCTAAGATTTGGTCCTCCTGATTTCATGCTAAAACTAAAATTTGCTAGCCACCCAAAAACAGTTACATGTTTTCTGGTATACAAGAGTTATGAATAGAAGGAAAATTGGTCTGCTTTCGTTTATGAATTTAAGTGTTCTAAAACGCCTTAACTTAGTCGAAAAAGGACATTTCGAGGGTAAAAATTCAAAACAACCCCCAAACCACCATGTGATTGTCACAGACAGCTTCCCTATGACAATTAGGACTTGTGACAATGGACAAAATGTAATTAGGACCTGTAGGCTTGGAGTTTGAGCCGAAAATGCTTTAAATTTAGTCGAAAAAAGGCATTCCAGGGGTGAAAATTCAAAACAGCCCCCCACCACCATATGGCTGTCACAGACAGCTTTCCCATGACAATTATGACTTGTGACAGTGGACAAAATGCGATCTTAAGAAAGAAAAGTGACAATTTAAAGTCTTAAGAAAAAAATAATTTGTCTGCAATCTAAAATTGTTGCTTCATTTCTTTGGGTAATCAAGAAATAAGCATTTAAAAAATAGAACAAAGTTTTATTTGTGTAATAAGTGTAAATGCGATCTTTGATAACGAAACAACCTAAGCAATTTTATTCATGATAAGATTCTGTAACGCCCTCAAAGTAAACCCATAAATCATACATTCTTGACATGCTTAAACATAAGAGATTGAAGCATAATTACATTTCATCAGAGTATTCATTACAAAACGTATTACATGTTGACAACAAAAATAAATGCCCTATAGGCTTACAACTTTCCAAGTCAACACTTGGTTACAAAAAGTAGAGTACTAACTCTACACAAAATAAGCCCTTGGCTTGATATACATGTAATACAACAAAAAGAACGAAAAAAATAAGGGCAAACGGCCTCAAGCCTCCCAAGCTACGTCCTTGGAGGTGGCATGCTACCTGTACCTGAAAATAATGTCCCATAAAGGGTGAGCCAACGCCCAGTAGAGATATGCTAAACATAGTATGAACAATAACTAAAATATTAGTATTCGATAAATGTTTAATCCATTTATATCAACTTATAACACATTTCAACTCCATGACTACGATGTTCATGAGTTATTCCATTTTCCATTTCTTATTCATTTCACAATCCACATCCATGGCTCAGAACCTAGCCACACAATTTAAATAAGATCGCGTCTCATATTAACAGTATTCCCGTTTCAGGTGAGATAATGACTCATATTAAACATTTCATACTTCATAATGGATACATATTTTGATGCTTTATCAATCTCAAACAAAAACACTTCCATACTTCACAAATGATACACATTTTGGTGCTGTATCAATAACATATCAAAACACTTCCATATTTCATAAATGATACACATTTTAGTGTTGTGTCAATGACACATCAAAACACTTCCATATTTCATAAATGATACACATTTTAGTGCTGTATCAATGGAGTCCATCCCCTATCTCCTCCCAAACAATATCTGGTTTAGAGGTCCATCCCCTATCTTCCCTTAAACCGTGGAGTACATCCCATATCTCCTCCCACACAACACAATGTATATAAGCAATTATCATATATATGTTCAATCAATCAATACACAATTTTGATGTATTATACCAACCGCCATATTCGATGGCACACTCAAGTGACTAGTTTTAGTTTACCTAATCATCATGCATTGTCTACAACAATCAAGACTATCCTCCATCAGTAGCCCAAAACAATTATTTCTAAACAGATAATAAATGCATTGACAGATAGATTATCAATAATTCTCAAAGTGGGTGATTATCAAATCCAACACCACTATTCCAACTCACAATGAGCCAATTTCATTATCCTCATTTCAATTTCATAATTCCACAATAAATGTCATTAATTACACTAATGACCCAAATATACCCAAACATGACATTTTCCCCATTTTTTCTCAAATTGACCCAAAGGTCCGTATATGATCAACAACATCAATAGTCTCTATTTAAGACCCAAATTATATGTTTATGGATTTAGATCACAAAACCCCTATTTTTAAACATAACACCTCTCAAAACCCTACTTCTCCAAATCAAACCATTTAGACAAATGCTTAACATCTAGGTTAAAGCTCATAAAAATGAGTAGGATTCCTTACCTCAAGAGATGAACCCAAGGAGGAAGATGAAGAAAAACAATATTGCTCCAAACTTCAAGATCTTCGGATCAAAACGAAGCCCCCAACAATCCCCACACTTTTTACAAAGGCCTAAGGGTAGGAGACCACTATAACTAGATCAATCCCTAGAGAGAAGGTGGGGTTTTAGAGAGAGGTGGTCTCCAATGGAGTTTTGAAAAAGTAAGAGAGAGAAAGAAAAGTGAAAAGTGATCCAAAAAGGTGAAATCCCGAAGTGATATAGAAATCTCCCCGCTCGAGCGTGAAAAGCGCCGCTCGAGTGCCAAATGCACACTTCTAGAAGTTTTACAGGCGATGGTCCCCGCTCGATCGTCAAACTTCTCGCTCAAGTGGAGGAGTAAAATCAAAGAGTCACACTCGAGCGTCAAAACTCCCGCTCGAGCGTACGAAGACCTGCAAACAAAAATACTAGGAGATGGAAATTCACGCTCGAGCGTTAAAACTCCTGCTCGAGCAGAGAAACAATAACAAAGGGCCCGCTCGAGCGTGAAGGCCAAAATCTGGGCATCAACTATTGGTTTCTAAACACACCCAACCTGAAACAAACTTGCCCAACACATCCTATAACTCACAAATAAGGAATCAAAGGATGACAACCAAATATATACAACAGCCGACTCCACGGAACCTAAGTCCGGATACAACAAACCAAGGAGAAAGAACCGGGATCACTATAACCTTCCCTCCTTAAAGAATTTCGTCCCCGAAATTAAGTATAAGTTTTCAAAAACAAGCTTTTCATAATTCTCAACAATATTACAATTCAACATTCATCAACTTGATCCAATACCGGTCATCCCATCTCTTTTCAAGAGGCAAATCACGATATATACTCAATATGCACCACTAGCATGCTTTCCCTTGAAATTTACCAATTTCAACACATATTCCATTTTTACAATACATTCAACATATTCCATTTCAAGGCAAGTTTCAAAATACTTCCATTTTTCAAACCATTTACAATGTTTTACAACTCAAGACATATTTAATGCTCTTAAAGTTCATCAATATTACAAAATCCCAATACATGGTTAAACATTTACAAACAAGTCCGGATATTTCTTACGGACATCTACCTCACGTTCCCAAGTGGCTTCTTCCACTCCGTGATGTTTCCACAAAACTTTAACCAATGGAATGGTCTTGCCTCGCAAGACTTGATCCTGTCTATCCAAGACTCGAACCAGACTCTCCTCATACGAGATATCCTCGTCAACTTCCAAATCGGTCCAATCCAGCACATGGGACGAATCCGGCTCATACTTCCGAAGCATACTAACATGAAACACGTCATGCACCCCGGATAACTGCGGCGGCAAAGCCAAGCGATAGGCAACCTCGCCAATCCTCTCAAGGATCTTAAAAGGGCCGATAAACCGAGGGGACAACTTCCTACTCTTCCTAAACCTCATCAAACCTCGTCTAGGTGATATTTTCAGAAAAACATGATCACCCGTCTCAAATGCCAAAGGCCTTCTCCTATAGTCGGCATAACTCTTTTGGCGACTCTGGGCTGTAACAAGCCTCCTACGGATAAGTTCAACTTTTTCCGTCATTTCCCTCACCAACCCCGGACCCAACAAAGGTGCATCACCCACCTCGGCCCAACAAGCTGGAGACCTACAAGGTCGGCCATACAAGGCCTCGAACGGTGCCATACCGATACTCAACTGAAAACTGTTATTGTAGGCAAACTCCACCAAGGGCAGGTGCCTCTCCCACGACCCACTAAAGTCAAGCACACAACCTCG